ATGTAGGCAAAAAGAATCACTGAGCTTTCTTTCAGAAAAGTCATTGAAAAGTATTTTATTTGCTCTATGCTAATACTGAAACTGCCTTTCAGGAGAGTTGTTTAAAAAAATTGTAAAACTTCAACAGTAGCTTTAATTTTATATTTCAGCGATAGTTTTAATAAGCATGGCAGCATTTCATGAGTAGGCTTTTCATCTGAAGCAACATGAAGTACAGATGTTACCAGATATGCAAATTGCTTTTAGTTTTTATTTTTTATTAAGGTAATGGTAAATAAGAAGAATCTTCAAAATTCTATTTCTGCATGGGTGATGTAATGTTTTTTACCATTTGAAACTTGTTTTACTGAGTGCTTTTTATGTTTAAATCTTATTTGTGCTAGCAAAACACAAAGTATTTCTTGCCAGGTCATGAAATTGTAGAAAACCTCTGTCCAGGCTACTTTTTTGATAATATTTGTGAGAAATTTCTTGGGAAAATCAGATAATTACTAAATTGAGCTTTAAGTATGAAATGCTCTTACTGTTAGGTATTCTAAATTTATGTTAAGTAGATACCACTTCCTTGCATATATTGTAAGCGTAGACCAGTTAATAATGAGGAAAATTTGTTCTTTCTGATACTGATTTTTATGGAGCTCTGTTCGACCTTGAAGGAGGGGGAAAAAAAAATTGATACAGTGCAAGGAAAGGCTGTGGGAATACTGTCAGCTGGTGTTATGTTTGTTTTGAATCCTGCAGTCAGAAGAATTTTAGTCTTTTCTTGTGCCCACATAATTATTTTTATATTCATTAAGTTCTGCAGAAGTTCAAGGAACTGCTTTTCAAGAGCATTTGACTGTAGGACTGAGGCTGTAAACTAGTATGGTGTCTTAGTGAAATGCTGCTACATTGGAGAAGATAATTCTAGATGAACTGGGCATAAACTTTGATGTGGGTTCTTAACAATTAAGTGGGGTTTTTTTTAATTTGTCTTTGCCTTTAATTACACTGAAAATCAAGCTTTAATGTAACTCACCACTTGGTCAGTTCAGTTTCACTGATTCACATGTTTTGAGTCTTCAACAGAGGCTTACAGCTAATCCAGGAGGTAAGCAACGTAGCAGACTGTCCATCATGTCTCAGCATCTCTGCAATGTTGAAAACTGTTTCGTAATTCCAGGTCAAGCCTTTGTTCCAAAACCAGAGGTAAGTTTTGATGTATTTGTTTGGGGTTTTTGTTAATTTGTCAGTCAAACAATATATCTGATTTTGAGTAAGGAACATGGTTGTGTGCTAATTCAACATCTCTGTACTACAAAGTGGAGTGATGTGATATTCCTGTAAATGAAGCGCACTTGCTTCAAGAAAATGCTTTTCTTTTTGGTTCCGCAGAATTTGGCTTTGACCTTCAAGTCTATCTGTAGGATCAGCATACTTCTTTGGGTGTTTCTGGAGAGCAAGATTAGGGTTTAATGACAGGATACTCTGCTAGGATTGTAGCATCTTTGGAAAGCCTGCTGGTTTACAGTTTGCATTTAAAAACAGTTTGGGAATTGTGTCTAGAAAATTCGATGGGTCTTTTGAAAGACCCTGATAAATAATAACTTTTCATTTGTCATCTTTGTCAAAGATCTCTAATTTTACCATGTCTATAATCTTTACGTTTTACCTTATCTGTAGCATATTTAACTCCCTCCTATTTACTGTAGCATTTTATCACCTACATCCCACTGCCTGTTTAAAAAAGTTACAATCTTTCCTCCCTCCTATCTGCTCTTGAGTGCACAGAGACCAGTCTTTTTGCTGTGCTCTTATGTATTGCCACTGCTATTTATTAATAGCTGTTATTATTACAGGAATCAAGAATTAATAAACTGCATTTTGGACAAGAATTTATTTATCTATTTATTTATTTAAAAAATATGTGTCTGACACTAAGTGGGATCTGTTTCCTCTGAATGCACGTGGAAATCTACTGTTCCATTTCAGAAATGAACTTGCAGCTTCTGAAAAGTTCCTTTTAAACTGATTGTCTCAGCTCATCAATAAATCTCCTTTCCCCCATATCACAGTCTATCTCTTGGTCTGGTCTTTTTACTCTTCAGGTTTATCTCTTGAGAATCTTTGGAAGGTCATTCTTTCTCTCTCTTATCACAATGAATTTTAAAGCCTATTCTGATGATGATTTAAAATTCTATTAGTACTTTTTGAGCAAGTAACTGTTCAAGCACATTAAATTATTAGTTGTGACAGCAGTCTGTTGTGAAGAAAAATGACTATGCTTAAGACATTTTTTGCTTTGCTTTCCTCCCCCTCCGTCTCCTAGCTGATTGAAAAATAATTTCAGGATGTCATCTTACTGTTAAATATGTTCAGTAAGACCAAAATTCCAATTTTGTGGTGGTGGTTTCTCGAGGGTGGATACAATTTGAGGGCATAGTAGAACTAGCGTGGTCAAAGTCTTGTGCAGACTGCGCCTCAGAATTGGGAAGCTATAATTGATATTTCCATTTTCCTGTACCGAAAAGGCCATAGTTGACTGAGAGAGGTAACTCAGAGTTGTGACAAACGTCTTAGTATAAGCAAATCCTACATTCAGTTGGTGCTCTGTTGAATAAAAAAGGCAGTACCACTAAAGGCAAGCATGTATTTATTTAATACAGTTCTTTGAGTTAAAACAAATATTGCTTATATTGCAAAAGCAGAAAGTGCAAATTTTTCAGATGGACCTGGCACCTGGTTTCACTATATTTTGTTTCCTTCAAATTCCTGTTGTAGATTGATCTTCTGATTTGTCCGTGTTCTTTCAGTTGTAGGCTGACATGTAGTTTTAGATATTACCATTTCTGATAGAATCTTTGTTTTCTTGGAAAGCTCTTACAGCGTATTGTGAACGAAGTAGCTCAGTGTTGATTTTTATTCCATACGTATGCAAAGAAGTTCATGTACTTGTGTATGAAGTTTTAGGAAGAAGAATTTGCTGCTTATGTAACTGATGAATACTTCATTTTGCTCCTAGCATGCAATTATTACCTTCTTATGCCCTCCTGTAGAGTGCCTTTGGTTCTAATTTTACAAATGTTAGTTTTAATTCACATGCATTAGCAGTGATTACAGCTTAGTGTCATGTTAAACGCCTTACTAAAGGTGGAGATCCGTGTTTTTGGGAATTACCTGTTTACCTTGTTTGCCCAATGAATTAATATTATTTCAACAATACCTATGAATGTTGAGACATAGAAGACTCTTGGTTTATGGAATGGAATGGTGCTCCACAGCATTGTGTCTAAGCAAAGAAAAATTGGCTTTCTGGTCATAGTTAAGTCTGCAATACCAGATAACTGCTGATACTAGCATTAGGAATAGTAGAAAACAAGCTCCTTGATGAATACTGAGAAACTCAAAATGGCTACGTAACAGTAGTAATACGAGCAAGATGTAATTTCATTCTATGTATATTAGACTAAAGACTTTTTATATATTAGATGTATAAAACATTTCACTTTGTCAGATGCTGTAGCAGAAGATCTTACTTTTTCCAACAGACTATACATAGAATGTTAAGGCCTCTTCATACCGTTTTAGTGAATTTGGGGCTAATAATATGGGAAAAGAAAGTTGTATATAAATATGCAAAGTCATTCGCAGTTGGTTTTGTTGAAAGACTCATCCAGCATTATCATATTCCTAAATTTAAAGGCCTGTGTCATACCCTTTTCATTCCCTTGCCCGTGCTAACAAATTAACATCAATTTGCTTCTCATTTAGCGAAGCGTTTATATAGAACGTACTCTGCCAATGACCAATACAAAACAAAGTCTGTGCATTGAAAGAAAGGTTAAAGGATCTAAGATTATTAAGCAAAATAAAGGGGTTAAGGAAATAAATTTTAAATGATGAAGTTGTCTCTGTTGCTATTGTATGTTACATTTTACTATAATAGAATATATGGGAGTGTGCCTGAAACAGACCCTACTGGAATAATTAAAATGACTTATAAAGTTCTTAGAAGGCCAGAAACATAGAAGACAACAAATGGTAGCTGTATTATTTGAGCTGTTAAAAGCTACTTTGAGCAAGTGTAAGCCAGAAGGCTTCCAGATTTTCTGGAACATAGATATTTACTTTGTATCCTGTGTGTTACAGTTTGCAAATGTTTTCATAGTCATGGTTACATTTCTGTTATTGTATTGCTCCTCAAATCTAACATTCTTTGTGTAGTGATAGATTAGTAGCAATTGGAGAATGCCCAGTGGACATTTCTTTAAGAATAATAAATGAAACTCACAGCAGGTGGCAGTTTGGAGCGGGAGAACCATTTTTGGCAAGATCTGAATGGTTCTGTTGATTTTTCAGCCTGGTATGGGGAATATACAATGCAGCTAAGGTTTGGGGCTATAGGGTTTTAATGTGGGTTTTTTTTTAGTTTGGTTTGTGTGTGTGGGGGGGTTATTGTGTGTAGTTTTGTTTTTGTTTGTTTTTTTTTTTAAAAAAAGAAATCTAGTTATTGAGGCAAGTTAGAGCTGAAATTGAAAGACAGATATGTCTGCTATTTAAAAACCATTGAATTGAGCTTCTTGGATAGAGAGTGGTTGGGGTTTTTTTCCTTGTATCATAATTAAAGATAAAAATGTAAAATACACTATAAAACATTATATGTTATTGATAGCCTGATTTGCTAAATAGAAAGCAGTTAGTTTTTCAGCATCTTTGCCGTAACAAATGATCAGTACATTAGTTGTACTGTCAGTTATGTTTTAAAATAGTTCCTTATTTTTCAATAAACGTTACTTGGAAAGTCAAATAGTTTGAAAAAATCAACACAAAAAAGTACTCTTGTAGCAGACTTAAGCATTGTTTCCTACTTTGTTCTTTTTGTGGAAGCAGCTATAAATGAAATACCTTGCTTAAACATAATTGCAACCCATATCTAAGAATAGTGTTATGTTATACATTCTTTGAAATAATCAAACTACACTTAGCACAAAGAAAGCCTCAGTGGATAGTAATAACTGTATTTACACGTAGTCCTTCAGGTTGTAACCTGCGTTGCTCTCCTGCTCTGTGGATGGGAAATGGTGCTCCTTAGGAGGGTAAATCCATGCTCCTTGCTGCTTTTTAAAACAGGAAGTGCAGAAGATCACACCTGCGATAAGCAGAAACCCTGCTGAAATGAATCCTATATAAACCGCTCCTCCTGGTTCATGTTTACTGCTCTCTGGAATGGTCTGGTCCAGAAAATTTGAAATAATTTCTCTTGTGTACCAGGATGTTGGTATTAATCCAAAGATTCCTGCAAGAATGAAGCAGACTCCTCCAGCAAAACAAGCATGACTTTTGCTGTCAGTGTCCCCTCCCAGCTTTGTGCATTTCATTCCAACTGTAGTGATGCAGATCCCAAAGGCTGATAGGATACAAGACAGTACCATGGTGGTCCGTGCAGCCTGGATGTAGATGGGGAGAGAGAGAACGGAGTATTTCAGGGTACAGCTAAACATCCCAGTGCTGTACCATGTGCAGTCCATCCAAAGTCCTTGCATCTGTGTGATAGCTGTTATAATATTTGAACCCACATCTGCGTTTACCTTCCAGTTTGGTAGCAAGGTGGCTGTGATATCTCCAAAAACACCAAACAAAGCCAGAAGAAAAGCAAAGAACTGTAGACTTGCTGATGCCATGATGATTATCTGCTGTCACCTTTTGTCTGCCCGTTTCTCTCTTGTAAATGAGTGTAACTGGTTGGTGGCTTCGTAGCCAAGGCTGTAGCCCTCTGTGTAATCAGGAAGAAGGGGGGGAGGAGGAGTGCGAGGGGGAAAGAAAAAGAAATCAGCAAACAAAAAAGCTTGCATTTAAAATTAGAGCTATCTGAATGAATATCTGAACATGTCCCTGCAGCAGAGGAGAGCAGCTGAGCAGCTGTACACAAGGTACTTGAACATAAGTGACGGCAAATGGACAGTGTTTTAGAATTGCTTGTAAGAAGGAGCTGCTGCCCTTTCATACATGATTGCAAGCCATCAAGCAAAACTTATTTTACTGGAGTTGTTTTTTGTAATAGTATACAGATTGCGGGCTTATTAGACAAATATGCATTGTAAATGGCACATTAGAAACTTGCAGATTAGAAGTCATTGCTGAAAATATACTGTACTCTTCAAGTACCTTTCTTAAATGTGTTGATGGCTGTAGTTGGTTCCTGTTGACTATTTTGTAACAATGAACATTGATTATACTATCTTTCATTCAAAGTATGGTTAAAGGTAACCCTTTATGTCAGTTATTTAAATATTATCTGTTCTTTTGTTTAATAACTGTTACCAAATTTTTTTTTGAAGGAGAATAAGATTGCAATTAGTTTATGCAGTATTTTCACAATTGTCACATGTGACTTCTCTAAATCAATATTCTATTTTTTGTCAGTGATTCTCAGTTCTTGACTTAAAGTAGCAGTTTTGAACAAGTCATAAGAGTAAATATGATGTGCTTTTATGTTTGAAATAAAATACTGTATTTAACACTGATATAGAACAACTCAGTTGTATAAGTGCATTTTTTAAATCAGTCACTTACTTACCTGTCTGAAATCATATGCAAATTTGCCATGGCAGTTTTAAAAATTCATTAAAAACCTCCCTGCTATTTTTGCATAAAGAGTCAATTTTCATTTGACAGTTGAGAACATTTTAGGCAATACAATAGCAGTGCACCTGGGAAGACAGAACTGTTGCTGTTACATCAGCTGGACTGTTGGCATAGCAGATGAAGAAAAATGGTTTGAAACCTCTGTGATGAGGACTAGAAATGGTGTTCTGCCTTTTTGAGTGGGGCTGTGTAATTGGTAGGGTTTGTCTTTTATCAGAGTGATAGGGAAAGGGTAGTGCTCAGTCTGGATTATGCTTTCTATCCTCCTATCTAAAGATGAACAAAAATATTAAAATTGGTCTTTAGCATTAGAACTTTTTTGAAAAGCCATAACGGGATAAAGTTGAAATAAATGGAACACAAAATATCTGCAGCATTGTAGTCTTATTTAAATTCATTATACATAAGACAACAAGGTTTTGATCACTATGTATTCTGTCTGTCTTGATTGGTATTACGTAACAAGTAATCTTCTAATTTATATATTGCACTTAGTTCAGGTAATTGTTCAAAGATGTGCTAACTCTGTCCAGAATATATATATTAAAAATGCTTATAGTTAAGGTGAGAATGTTAACAGCTACTCATTTTTAAAATCTTATTTCAAAGACCTACCTATTTCCAAATCCCTTCAATTTGTTCAGACATAAAGAGTTGCTTTGGCAAATGCATATAATTTGCTGCATTGGGCCCATGGGAAAGACGTCTTAACTTCCTTTTACCGAAAGAACTGACATGTCTGGATAGCTCAAAACACATTCAAAAGCATATTCTGGAACAGCTAATTAGGATCTTGAGTTAGCCTTTTTCATTGCTTCCTTTTTAAAATTTCAGCATATACAAACATGCAAACATAAACGCAAACCATTGCAAATGGTAGTCATGTGTTACATTTAATGGGATGAACCAAATTAAAGGCATGATAAATTGAAGTATAAGCACTGCAAGTGCAATAAAAAAGACAGTTATGTTTCATTCCTGTTTGTGTAGCACTTACTGCTGGATGTGAGGTCTGAGATGTTTTCTTCACTGCAGATGTCCTGGAAAAATGCAGTTTCTCTTGAATGGAACTATCCCATCTCATATAAAACTGCATTGGCATGTATTAACAAAATTTCTTGGAATGTTGTTTTTTTCCTCTTCTCTACAGCAAGCATTACTGCTGTTTGTTCGCTCTCTTAGTTCCATCTACCCGAGAATAAAGGAGTACTTTGTTTAATGAGTTTTGTTTGACAAACACTCAGTAAGGGAAAGCAAAGAGATTATGGTGAAAAACACATGGAGGCCCTTAGTCCTAAATACATAATGTTATCCAGGTTCTATGATGAAAACTGTGAATGGTGATTAAAAGTAAAATCTTGAGAATCTACAAACTGTAGACTTACAGAATGGGGGGAGGGTCGGATTCATTTAAGTTGAACTGAGAACCAGAGCCAGAGGGTTTTGTTTATGGGTTGGTTTTTTTTTTTTTCATCACAGATAATCTTATTAAGAGTTTAAATTTCCTAGGCAAGAACTATGCAATTTATTTAAATTAATTGGAACAATAGGGCATTTCTATTCAACTACAGGTTTTGCTTATGTCTTCTTGATAGCCTTAGCCTTCTGTAGGTCATCCTATAACTTGTTACCTTTGTATGAGTCTGCATAAAGGAACGAAGGGAAAAAGCTACTAGTAAGGCTCATATGGTAACTGCAGCACATCGGTGAAGTGGTCTCGACAAGTTGGTGTGTGAGATGAAGAAGTTAGGAGAAAAGTCTTGCTGATTGCAGCGATACACCCATAGGTTCTGCGCTTGACTTTTGGTTTCTTGTGATCCTGTTTCTGAGCCTAGTGTGAATAGAGTTAAGTTAAGAATTAGATTATTGGTATTAGAGCAGTGGCACAGTTATTTTCTGTTGGAAGTGAACCAAAATGAAACCCTCCCATCAGAACAGGATCACTATGAGATAACATGTCTGGTATTAGACCTAACATTTGTCTGTAGTAGACAGATAAAATGCTGGTGAATGTGCTGGCTTAGAACTATCTTAGTAGGATCTCAAGTAGTCTGTTTTAATGAAGTTGTAATACGTTCTGCTTGGGTTTCAGTTCCCTAGGAGTAAATTACAGCTTGGAAAAGGGTATGTGGATTTGCTTTTAATACAGCCCTGTTGCAGGATACACGTATTGCCCGTCATGAGATCTTTATTGTCAACAATTAGTAAAAATTGTCTCATTTAAGCTTATTCTGATTTAGAGTGTTGATTTCGTCAGCAAGGCAGCAGACTTCTCTGAATTAAACTGTACTCGTCATGTGTTCCTCCTACCGTACTAGAACATAAACCTTCATTGTACTGATACACTAAAACAGCAAGGGGTGAATAATTGCTGTGCTATTGACAGTTCAGGGTAGATCGGTTGAATAATTTTCATAGTCATTAGTTTGTAAGAATTGAGTATTATTTTGTAAATATTTCTAATGTACTTGGTGAGGGAAAAAGTGTTACTAATAAAGTTATGCGCAATTTAACTTGTGTATTTTAAGTGCTGTTGTGTACTCTGTATTGGCTTTCATAATTCTACTCTCTATTTTATGCATATTAAAAAGGTTAGGAGAAAATAGCATGTATAATTTTAAAGGAGTGGCCAATTACAGTGAAAAGCTTTCGCCTGTATCTGTTGCTATAGTAACCAGGCAGCTTTCCTGGGGTCCAAAGAAAACAGTGTCTATAATGGAACAAATGCTGAGAAGTGCTGTGTTTTGTTTCAGAAGCAGAAATTATTGCCCACTGGCCTTGAGATTGCAAATTGAGCTGTTTTTCTCTTAAACTGTACACTGCATCTAGACTCTGCTCTTTTTTTCTTTTCCTTTAGAAATTTCTGTTAAAGATGCAGCTTCTACTCCCAAAGAGCCCTCATATCTCGCTTACAAGCAGTTCTGCAAAACTGAGGCCATTGTGAGATCCCAAATGGTCTCTGATGGTTTTCTTATCCCTGATTTTGCTGGGGAAATACTATGTTTTATTTCTTGACAAAAATGTAGATAAACATATCTGTGTGTAAATAAGTATTTCCATGCAAGGAGCCAGTTGGTTGTGTGAAGCATGTATTTGCCCTGTTTAAAAAGGTATACTGTTCTGTCACTCAATGTGAACACAAGTTTTCGTTGCGTTCCTGTGCTCTTTCGGACATGTAGGACCTGTGGCAAGGGGAGAAGCTATCAATGCAGGAGAAATTCAGAAACCGCTTTGGAAAATACATTTATGTGCATTTCACTGCAAATTCCATATGTCAGGTTTTCTTTAAATAAGTTCTCGTGTCTTTACATTTTAGTAATTTAAGTATTTTTTCTGTCTTATGCTTGACTTTAGCTTTCAGAAAAGGTGGAAAACTAGAGGAAAAAACACTATCTGTATAACATACCCTTAAGATAGCAGTGCTTATGCTGGAAACTTGTGGGTTTTTTTCATCAGCACCGTTAATCAGTATTTTCTTTCCTTTCTCTAGCCAGTATTTTCATTCAGCTTCCTAAGATCTGTCTACATGAAAAACTTTTACATTGTTTGAATTTCATCATTTCTGTTGAAAGCAAATATAGTGCCTCTGCTGTTGAAACAGTTGTACTGGATAGGTGTATTTGACAGCTGAGCTGTTCCCATTGAAAGTACAACATGGATGGATTGCACCTTTGTGCCAGAAGAGTATGTCTGCATCAGAGATCACTACAATTTAATTGATTTTAAAAACCCCCACAAACTTAGAGCAGTTTTGTTTAGAGCAGTAGAAAAAAACCCTCTCTTTTGTTGAAGTTGGTTGGGTTTTTTGGTTGTTTTCTCAAACAATTGATACAATTCTGTTCTGCTTAGAACAGAAGCTGTTCTTTGGTCTGAGTGTATCTTTTCTTTTAGTCAGAACTAGCACATCTTCAATTTAGTGTCACACAGAATCTGTTCTATGAGTTACCGATATTGACTGTCAGACCTTTTAAAACAGATGGATGATTGTCCATCTTATTAGCAGATTTTTTTAATAAGAAACTGAATATTTTTAAAAATCTAGCACTTAAAATATTTTAGTCGTTCAGTACCAGTACTTGTACAAATTGTACAAATTGTCAGTGTGTTCCTCCATATAAATTTTTCATTTTTACTGTTGTTAATGTCTAGTTTGGAAGATGAACTGCTTTGTTTGATGTGGTGCAGAACTGGATTTTTAGCCCAACCTGTATTTTGTAATACGGAAGTCTGAATTCTGTATAATGCAGTATCTCTGTAATTGCATGACGTATTTTATGTGTTTATGTATGTGTACATTGAAGGAATGATGTTACTTCATTCTGTTTTCAGACAAGGGAAAGTTACCCTTTCTGTGACCCAAGCTGATTTTAGAACTATAAAAGAATAAAACAAACTTGAAAGAGATCTGTGTAGAAGCATTCAAATAGAATTTTGTGATACACATTGTAAATACAGAATTGTATGGTCACTTAAACTGAATGCGTACTTATTTCTACCTACTATTCCTTTAAATAGACTAGAATTTTAAAAGCTTAATATGCTGAAAAGTAATTCCTTGGCTTACATTTTAGAAAAGCCCTAGAGCAATAGAAAACATATAGGGATTGAGTTTGATTTCTAATTATAATAGCAATTTTCTCTGGCTGCCCTTCAGCCTGTATATTGAATATTGTCTAATTTGTGTATCATGTCAGAATTGTCTTGTGGAAGGATCTGAAGAAAGAAGTGCTAATTACTTTACAGATTACATGGATGTGGAGGAAGTGCCATGGGGAAAAAAGTACTAGGTACTAATGACATGTGAACTAATTGGAAATATGTAGATAACTAAGACAGACTAAAATTCTGTAGGGCCTTGCAAGTTAAGCCAAAGCTCTATACTCAAATACTATGACATTAGTCACTGCACAGCTATGTTACCTGTCACAATAATGTCTGCCTATGTTCTGCCGGTTTCCTGATGTCTGACTGGTTAACTTAGAAATAATATGTCTCAGAGGAATATTATCTGCTCATCTTTTTTTTTTTTTTTTTTTTTTAATTCCCCTTACAGGTGGATGTGGCTGTGGTGCATTTCACTCCACTGGTGCAACCAAAGATACAGCAGCCATTCGAGCTAGTAGAAAAAGTGGTTCGAAGTGTTTTTCAGTTTAGAAGAAAATACTGTTTCCGCGGAGTCGAGTAAGGATCTTTAACAAAAAAATTCTGAGATACTGTTTTTGTAAATGTGTAAGCTACTAAATCAATGGAGAAACACTTGTACGTATGCATTTGATTTTATTCCTCCCTTTTTAAATATGGTATAGTTCATCAGATCTTTCCATTTCAGAATTGTTTCTGGAGACATCTATGAGATGACTCTCTTTCTGCTGTAATTATATAATAATTACTGTGTATTTTTGTTAGAGCAGTTGAAGCAGTTAAAATTACTAGGATAAATTGGTGATCTTTCCAGTAGTTTGTCTCTCAGAAACAAACCCACCCACCAACCACAAAAACTACAGCATTTGTTAGTTGAGTTAAAAAATGAAAGTCTCAAAATTCAGAACCAAAGATGGCAGCGTGAGGAGGGAGAATATCATCTGCGGGAAATTTTACTTATTTGGGAATAATGCGAAAAGGTCAAATTCTTGTTTCTGTGCTTGCCCTTTTATGGAGTTCTTACTGATTCTTTAAAAATCCCCATGTCTTAGGGAATTTATTAGGTTCTCTAACTAACTGATGCGAGAAATCTGCAGTCTGCTCGCCAAGGATCCTGTTAAAACCCTAGCACAGGCATGTGTCTGACTTGGTATGGGGAAAACCCAGCATTCAGTGTTTTAGGACATGTGTCAGAGCTGCTGTTAGGACTAGAGGCACGCTGCTGCAGCTTGGGCTAGCTGAATTTTGCTGGATTGGCTCTGACGCAGGCCAGGATTAGGGTGGATGCTACCTTGCTTGAACTACAAGCCTTATGTGTCACTATTTTAAAGGTGACCATAGAATTTTGTCTCTAGTTTGTTTTTGGGTTTCTGCCTGAGGCAGTGAATGGCATTGATGTCTGCGATGCAGACATTTGACCTGAAATTTTGCCTATGTTAAAGTTTGAGTATGCATTTGGAGGTGGTTAGAAAATGAGCTATGCGAACTCCAAATAGGTTTGTACATGATTTATAGGGTTGGGGGTGTTTTTTTTGGTGAAAGACCAGTTTTGGTTGACAATCCAGACAGAAGGTATACATTATCAGCGTATCTATGTTTTGCAGAATATTTTTGGCAGAGTTTAAAAAAAAAAAAAAACAAACCCCTCAACTGTTGTGTAATTTCAGATTGCTAATAACTGCTCTATATTGTTTTGAGGCAAGGGGGGAATCTGAACTTTTGGACGTCATGTATCCCCTAGCAGCTTATCATACTTTAGCCCTAGTGTGCAGCTAAGAAACACAATCCTCTTATTCTTTAGCTAAACTGAAAAAAAAAAAAAAAAAAGCTCATTTTGGAATATAATAAGACTATTAAGTTTGTTACAAGGTATCTATCTATTGCATGTACTGTATAAAAACAAGGTAATCGAGTCAGTTGACATTTGAGTGTACACTCTGGGATCTGAGAGAGCCATGGCATAGAAGATTAAACTATTAAGTCTATGAAGAAAACATTGTAGTTTGAGTTGCTGTTCCTGGGCATTTGTAAGATGGTTCATAGTTTGTATATGAAACGTGATTAAATATTTTTGGCTCCAGGTACATATTTTAACTACCAAATCAAAGGCGAGAATTACTTCAGAAGGGATATCAAAATAAGAATTGATCCATTTTAACCTTGCTGACCTACATACTGAACTAATAGGGACATTTTTGACCAAGGCCTGGAATAGCATGTACTTTAAACCAGGCTGTTCCCAGAAGTTCCATCCTTCTCTTGTCATTTCAAACCATTTCTTCACTTTGTGTTCTGCCTGCCCACCAAGAGCCGGCTATCACCTACTCATATAAACCCTTTTGACTAGCTTGTCCAGCCAACCTGCAAAACACAGCTGGGGATGTGTTACTGTTACCAGATGCACAGCATTTTTCAGGTCTTACATATGTATAGCAGCGGCAGATAATTTGAAAACTGAGATATGCACATCAATCGTGCAAATTTTCTGCCTTCCTCACCTGTTGTAGACTGAGAACTACTGCTAATAAGTAGTTTGCGCTTTGTAGTATGCATTTTTGCAAGACCTTAAAAAATCACTTGAATTAATACTATTCATTGAAATTTGGGGAACACTGGCCACAGAGTAAATGACCTGGTTTGACTATCTATGAACAGTGACAGAGCAGAAAACAAAATCTAGGACTCCTGGCACATTCTCCAGGTTCTGAATATTAAAAAGTGCATGATAATTAACTATTCCTTTCCTCCTCCTTGGCTTTTTTTTCTGGCATTAGAAGTACAGTATTAATGACAAATGATAACAGTATGTTTCCATTGGAATGAAACAGCCTGAGAGAGTCGTGTAGTTTGGATCTGATCTGTTTTGCAGTTTAATCTGTTGTTGTTCTCTAAATATGAGGCTAATTCTAAGAAGGCTCTGTGACTGTATCCATACCCAAAGCTCTTTTTAATGTTAGCAAATATGAACATACATGCATGTATTTAATGTACAATGTATGTATATGCTTTCCTATGTCATTGCAATTTCCATGTGCAGAAGAAGGTCCCTTGTATGTTTCCATTTGCTTAGATAATCAGCTATATTAAGAATGTTAAAGCTAAAATAATGACATAATATAGGTTTACTATTAAGTAAGTAAATTCCCAAGAGGACCCTGTTACTCTTAAGGGAAACTGAAATGTCTGAATTGTTTATTTGTCTTCTCCCCACACCATTTAGGACCTTGTTTCCTGAAGGTGGACGTTTGAAAAGAACTGAAGAGCTGATGATGACAGCAGATGTTGATCCAACTCTGCGTCCTTTTCAGCTATCCATGTCACACTTTAGAAATCTATGCAATACATACAGGAAAATGTGCGATGAAGACCCGAGCCTTTTTGCGTACAATTACAGAGAAGAACTAAAGCAAAAGAAGGTGGTGAAGAATTTACTTAAAAGTACCAGTCAGCCTGAACAGATGGAAGAGGAAAAGCAGCTGTAATTGCAGCAGACTGTTTTTTTATTTAACTCCTGATGTTGATTCATTAAAAGGAAGCTTATGTATTCCTACATCTGTGCAAAGTATGGAAGAAATACTTTTGAGAAAGCGGTGGCAAGAGAGGGCTTTCCCATTTTATTTATTCATTCTGTTCAGCTATAGACAGAAGTGATACGACAGTCCAGTTACAAGGTGCCTGCAGGTTCTTGGGAAATGGTTAGAACACATACCATGAACAAGGTATGTTGTGAGACATGTCATTAAGTTGGGATACTTCTGAAATAATTTAATTTTGTCTGAATGAAAGTGCATTATTGAAACGTAAGAAAAAAATACTTTTCATACTTCAGCATGATGGTGTTTGGGGATTTGTGCTCTTTTTATCCTGGAACATCCTACTCGGCAGAGTAATTTAAAAAACAGAAGCCAAAACTCTTGTATAAATATACTCAAGTGACTAGCTTAAAGGAGGATAAAATGCGCAGATTGCTTCAAGGTCTGCTAATACTCTTCTCATTTATACAAAAGCAAAGAATTTGGGATTTAAAGCTCCAACTAGAGAAAAGCAGCATGGTAAAAAGTAGAAAACATGGCTAAGTACAATACTTATTTGTCTTTTACTGTACAGGCTGGTAGAGAAAATAAAAAATACAGTCAAATAAAAGATTACAGGCCAAGCTTTGTTTTTGTATTTACACATATGTATAAAGTATAAACAGCATCTTGAAACTTACAAAAATGAAATTTTTGCACTATTGTGCACTAAAACACATTAAAATAACTTAATTCTGCTTTAAATAAAGCAAAAATGAAACCCAAAGAAATAAAATGCCCAAGGTATTGAAAAATTCATTTTGCAATGCTACTTTCCATTGTAATCCCCTCTGCCACTCACTAGCACCTTTCCCACATTACTTAAAATACTAATGAGGCCATCCTTCTCTTTCCTCCCCTCCCCAAGAATACTACATCATCTTAGTCACTGCTTGAAAGGGATGAACTAATTTACAGACCTTGGCCAACTTAATCTTTTTTTGATCCACAATAAATTAAAATAACTTAAGAATCCTTTACAGCTGTTTTTGTGGAAAAAAAAAATGTATTAGTGCACAAAATCAGATAGTAGTTTTCCTGCAGCTTCCATGAATTTACTAGTTTTAAAGCAAAATAAGTTTGTTGAATTTTATGTGGACTTCAAATGAGTATTTTAAATATAGTGCTCAGAAAGCTAGGATTTCCCATGCCTCTCCACAGCTTCATAAAAACAGTCCTCATTAACTACTGATGTTAAACTCTGGACACTAAATTCTCGCTCTAAAATTGAGTTCAGATCCAGGTTTGCAGCATCAGAGTGACTGTCAAGGGACTGGTGACGTTCTTGCATTGCCATTAAAGTTCCTCTGTTACGCTTTGTGCTGTTTACTTTTCTCTTCACTGGGCAAAAATGGCCACGCACCAGCTTTGGATGCTGTCCTGTCTCAAAGCCATCTCCTTCCTCGTTTTCAGCAGCCTGATCCCGTTCAGAGTCAGTACTCGGTTCCTCCGAAATCTTCAGCCGTTGGAACTGTATTTCAATGTCTTTTGTAGGGCTGTCCTTCTTTAGGCTCTGATAGTCATCGTCCACATCGTCATCATCACTGAGTATATCAGATTCTTTGACAAGCACATTAGAAAAGTCGGATGCGCAGCTCTGTACGTGTTTATCGGGAGATGAATTTTTGGGCTCCTGTATGCTCTCGGCAGTGTGGCAGCTGCTGCTCTGAGTACTGCTGCTCAGGCTGCACTCATCAGAGTCCTGGAAGGTGCCTTTCCCCGGGTCACCGTTCCACTCGCTACTGGATGAATTCTTCAGTACTTTCAAGGATCTCGTGGAAGCTGTGCAGAGGAAAAAGGCAGTTTTATTTTTTCAGCAAGCATCAGCTGGTTATACTGTCTGTCTCAATAGCCCATTTATAATTACAGTGTACATAGTCTCATTTGATAATCATCCCAGGTCCGGTGTGTCAGCATTCTGATACCAACGGTGCGATCCCGTGTCAGAGTTTTCATTCCGCCTACCCCAGGGCTGTATGCTTGCCTTCATGTGTAAGAGATACAAAATCCTCCAAAAATGTAGCAACACACATCCCCAGGAAAGCAAGACTGATTCAGGCACCTCAAGCACTGGAGGGCCAGGTTGGAGGTGTGAGTTGGACTATCCCAGTTCCTGTGATGTTAAGGGGAATTTACAGACAACTGATCAGATGGAGAACTTGAAATACTAGTAGCTACTCGTTTAACTAAAATATCTGAAGCCTGTGCTTAATTAGGGTATCTGCTGGGATGCAGATTTAGTGCACTGAAAGCAGCAAGACCCCTGCCTTTTGCCAGTTGTTTTAGCTTTACATGTTATTAGGGCTGAGTTACTAAAGGGAACCCAGAGGAAAGAACACTAATACTGCATGCAAAAAGGAGTCCGTTTCTTCCCAGGAAAATTAATTTGGGCCTTATTAAGTCTTCCCTGAAGAGAGCTAATGACACATCAAATGTGAGAATACAGTGTGGGGGAACGGCAAGTTTGCTTCTTTCCTCTAGCCCTTGTCATGCACTGAGCTGCGGAGAAACTACCACCTCCCCAGCCTGAAAAAGCAATGGGATTTGTGGGTCTGGCACATGACACACTACAGTCATGGTAATAATTGGAAACTTTCTGCCAGTGTTGGGGTCCAGACTCCATTTTTCACTTTGAGAATGTGTTTCTTACCCAGTTTGGCTGTTGCAGGTACACGGTTCTTGAGTGGGACAAGGCGATCTTTACATGTTTTCTCCAGTGGTAGCTCACATTTTATGTGACGTCTGAAATTCTCCCGCAAAATAGAACGGATCACCTTCACGATGTTCGTCTTGTTCTCACAGTCACTGCAAGTGTGAGAAAACAGATAACCTAATTTTCCCCTCTGAAGTAAGACACTATTGGGATAAAATCTGGCCCGCTCCTTTCTACTGATGTGCTTTAGTGCAATGTTGTTTTTTTTTCCAGTAGGTTGCTTTAGTAGTGGTTTTGCAGTTAACATCTTTATGTGTTAGGCATTTCACACACTTTGTGTTTTGAGATCTTGAGGCCTTAGAAAAATGGCCTGAAAGATAACTTCTGTACCCAGAGATCACCCCTTAAGTGGTCTTTATCAGACGGTAATCTCTGCTAACCAACTGAGAGTCTGATAGAATCAGTTACTTTGCCCATATCATACTGGAGCTTATGATCATACATCTGTGCAGATTTCTGATGGTGGATCACTGCGCCAAATTCACTCCCATTTCAAATTGTTATACTTTAGGCAGTTAAACACTGGCGTAGTGCCTGGATTCAAAGAGTGAGAGTTGCATTAGAAGTGCTGATGCAAAGGTCACACAGGGGAAAATATTTTATTTTTTTAATTTCATTAATGTGATTTATCAAATACAACCTCCATGTAAAGCTTACCTGCTGCACAACTGAAAAATTGTTTCTGGCCGGCCTTCTAGTTCTGACTTTGTGTGAATCAGTTCCCAGATAGAGCTGTTCTCTGTTCCTGTGCATGGAAGGAAACGTTATTTTTGTGTATGCTTTACAAAACCTTTAGCATTAGAAAGACCAGTGCAGAGCTCCTCTGCTCCTGAAGACAGCATTAATATAGCCATGGGTGGATCTCACCCAAGATGGAACCCACAGGAAAGTCCCCTGAACTCTCCTGTTGTAGCAGCCTAGTGCTGCTGCCTTTGATAACTTGACCTTCTCTCTTGGAGAGTTGCTCTGCCCCATTCTTAGTGCTTCTTGCTGCCTCCCAGCCTTCAAAGGCCTGCTCCCAGGTGTGCAAAGCATTTGCTTTAAACACTTAGTGACACTTTACAGTGTTTATAAAACTGGATAGGATCATAAAGATCAACTCCAAGGGATAATGAAATCACAGCCCTCTACTACAACAAATTACACAGTCAACTTCCCCACCAGGACGCCAACCATGGTGAATCACCTTCCTGTTCATGGTGTCTTTTCATTGGGGATTTCCATTCTGTCATTCCTTCACATCATGTTGCATCTTATTGAGCTCACTGAAGCTGACATAGCAAATGAATAAAGTCTGTTAATGTATCAAGCCTGTCCCCCCTGAGTGTAGAGACAACAGTAGATACTATTTTCTCTACACCTGCCTGTTTCCAGAAAGACATACGGAAGAAGCAGCATTGCAGAATCCCAGAAAAGCATTCAGTCCTGAAGTATTCAGTGCAAGGGAATTACCTGCTGTGTTCCCCAGTCGAACTTGAAGAGCAGATAAAGGAATCAGCCAGCGAAATTTAAATGGATCCAAGTCACCATAATTATGTGCAGCACGAACATTAGCAGGCTGCAAAAAGAAAAACAAGAAGGATATCTCTTAAGAAGTAAAAGTAAAAAAGTGGGGGGGGGTTTGTGTTACTCTTAAAAGACCTGCCTCTGAAGAGAAACTAAATCCATTAGACTTTCTCCTTCAGTACCCTATACGTGCTTGTAAATGTAGTTGAAATGGTGATAGACACAACCTTTGGAATTTGTAATTGCTTCAACTTTTAAAAGCACTTCTTTTTAATGGATAAAAATAATACTTTGCATATAAGTACTACTAGGGAACACATTTCCCATGAAGGAACCCACAGACTGTTGATTAGCAGAATACGTTAATCATGTAGCTGCTGCTGGTCCTTGTAGAGCCCCTCCATCTGTTACGATAAGTGTGGTGCAGTGCTTCACCACTGGTACTGGGGATATACAACTTGCTACTGAATTTCAGCATTCCAGTATTTTAAATGGGGACAGAGGAGGTTATGTTTATAGTGCCCCCTTTCATTTCCTTCCAGGATGATCAAGGGTCTACAGACAGAGGTCTTTAACCCACACACTGTGTTATGGTAGGCCATCGTAAATGTCATCTGGAACAATTAATGATTCCTACGTGGCAATGTTTCGTGTTTCACGTGATGGAACTAACATGGGGCTCACAAGGAGAAGATGGTGCTGCTTACTAAATAGCAAAAATTATTTATTGCTACATAGATACCGAGCACTTGTTTTAGCTGTGATAGCTAGAACTCCAGCCTAGGGAGGGAAGGTGGCATTTCACCAGAGCCACTCCCCCGTCGACACTGGTGTGGTCCATCTCACACTGCAGTAGGATCCCGTGCATAAACACCCACCACTTCCACTGATACCACACTTACCATTTTCTTTTTCAGTTTGTAGTTCTCCTTATACACCAGTATTACAGCCCTCTTAAAAACTAAAAAAGAAAGAAAAAAAAGGAAAACTGTTAGTTACAGGTGTAATATTCAATGAAAATACTATCTTGGAGAAGCTGATGGTTGTAGTCACAGGAATGTGAAGGATGAGTTAAGCAAACTGATTGAAAAGCACCTGCCCTGTATTAAGATGGCAACTGAGTTTTTCATCCTACACTTGTTCACACAATGGCAGTATTTTTTCCTCAGATTTAGTTCTGAATATTTAGGATGAAGCCATTCTGCACATTTATTCTGAAACTACCAGCAGCCTTCCTCCTGTAAGTCTTCACATAAACAAACACAGCGGATTTAGTTTAGATGTAAAGGTCCAGATTTTCTTTTTGTAGCCGATGGATGTATTCAAGTTGAGTAAGGGCCTATAGCAAGAGAGGGCTGTGGGAAAGGATGCTAAGTCTGTTCTTCTTGCAGTTCAGCATTTGTTTAGCTGGAAACTCAAACATTCATCTCAGTTCCTAACTTTTCCACCTGCAGGAATTGTCTGGCTTCCACAGCATCCGACTGGAGTGGCTCACCAACGTTATCTAATCTCTCAGCCTCCAGGGAGGCAGGGACACGTTCGTTCTTGTCTGTAAGGAGGAACAGAAACATGGGGGCATTGAAGCTGCAGCCGAACTATGGGATGGCTCTGCACAGCAGTCCTGGATCCCAGATTGGACTCTAGGGCAGTATCCACATTTCCTTCCAGTGGAAGAGGAGAGAGGGGCAATGGTATGCAGCTGAGTCTCATCCCCACATGAAGCCAGGATGCAGCCATAGCAAGCATAGCATTTACCCTGCAGCTTGGCTGTTTCTCTCAGTTCCACGTATCAGGTGCATTTTCTAAGCTGCCTACATAGGGTTAGAAGTGAGAATAACACTCAGTTTCCCAAGTGGCATACGAGCAGTCTGCCATTCATTCATACATGTCCTGCTAGGAAGTGTCTGGGATATGGGAACTGGGGAGTTAGCTCCTGTTTGTTCTGTTAGAAGCATCCCTCCCCAAAACTGTCATGCTTCCCGGGAAGGGAGTACATGACAGCCCTGAGAACATGAAACTTGTCTCTCGTCAACCTGGAGTTGTTCTGTAGTTGTTTATCCAATGACATTTTAAAGAAATATTTTTTTAAAGAAATGGACAATGCCAAAGATGTTTCACTGGAAGATTTAATTACTTAGATAATTAGTAAATGATTAATTGTAGATATACTATTAAATAAAACTCTTGTTTGTGTGCTCTCATTTCCACATCCATTTTTCAGGTTAAAATAACCTGGACAGGGATCTTGATGCAGTCGCTGTAAAGCAGAGGTTAGCCATAAAGCAGAGGTTAGTCCGAATTCACAAGAGTAGAATAAATCACCATTTGCCTACCAGCTGCCTTTGAAAGCTTGGCTTAGCAGATTGTTCTAAAGAGAATATTGCCTCTTGAAAATCACTGTTTTCCATAGTTTACATATAGGCATGAGAGCAGCTGACGTTAGCTCACAGAGCAAGCAGTAACGGCAAACAAATAAATGTAAACTTTTCTCATATTAGGAAATACAACTATGTATTTTTTCAGATGTAAGTCTGCCCTAGATACATGGCTACGTGGAAAGGAGATGGTGGCTTTCATGTTGCGAGAAGATTTAATGTGGTAAATCTTTATATTTGAAAGAGCAGAGAGTCATTAAGGAAGACACTTACCAAACACTGTAAGTTCAAGGTCTTTTCTTGCTTTGCCCAGCGACGGGAAAGGATTCAGCCAGGAAACTGTAGAGTGCATCAGAAGTTCACCCATCGACAGCTCTGTCACCTGTAATAAATGATAACAGTACATGATATAAATAAATAGCATAAATGTATACATCAGTGCTGTGATGCACATACGTGAGAAAACGTTAATGAGTACACATCAATAACTTTAAGCATCTATTTTTTTCTGTATTTACTGTGTGTACAGAGAGAAAGGCAGAGAGATTTGCACTACAGCAGGAAAAATGCGAGTAATCCCTTTTTTAAAATAATCGACAATTATAAATAATAGCCCCTAAGTTATGGAGGCTGGATAGAAGTTCTTACTATTAGTAACTTAGAAGAATATTAAGTTGATCTGATGATCTGTCACACACATACAGCCAGTTGTGAGCTGGCCGATTTATTAGCTGTAAGTATCTTTAATTTCTATAGAGTAATTAGTATTAATGACACTGCCAATGGCAGAATTAATGGAGGTCTTGTACTCTGAGGCTGCTTTCTTCTGTGGGACACAACGTAACACTGTGGAGAATCTCCCACGCTGTCAAGTTTTGTTTCCCCATAAATGGTGGGAAACCAGGTAGCCAGTGGGGGCGATTTGGCTTTTACTAGAAGGAAATAAAACAGCCAAGCCAGGATCTCTCATATCTGATCTCCACCTCTACAGACTTGATCTGCTTAGTAATTCTTTGATGTAAATAGCTAAGTTGAGACCTTGCTGCCCCAGTTCTGGGAGATGTGTGCACACCGTCTGTTTAACTAACGGGTTTTGCTCTGACAAATACCCATGGATGCCTCAGTGCTGGAAGCATAGAGTATGAGAATAACAGCCCTTAACGTGAAATCCCTCAAATTGCCATTTTCATTTATATGGGTGAAAAAATATCTTAAGAATTTAAGAACTCTATAGCATAAAATCTGAATGACTTGGGGCACGGATAATCTCTGCAACATTTGAGAAGAGGAGGATTTTTCCTACTGAGGATTATGTCTACTCCTGCTTGTAATTCTTGTCAGTCCAGAAGGCGGCTCTGGCAGCTGTCTGAAAATTTTACCATAACCTACTGACAAAAAGAAACTTCACAGGCAGATATGAAATGGAAGTCAAAATATTAAAAGAGAACGGAGGAAGTCCAGCACAAATAAGTTCCCAAAATTACCTCAGGAGGAGATAAAACACCCAACAGCAAGCGAGATAATGCTTCAGGAGTGAATAAAACCTACTGTTCCTTCTCTTACCTCCTTCTCTGTTCCACTTTGATCTGCAACCAGTTGGTCAAATACAGTGCCATAATCTTCATATATCTTCTGCATCTCATTGATGTGACTTGCTACTTTTTCCATTGCCTTCAGCGCTTCTATAAGGTTTTAAAATTTCATAGACAGCTATGTAATTCAATTGTATTTTCTAAACATGGCATTTTTTATTGAATTCCACTTGGGGCAGGCAAAATGACGCAGTGTTCCCAAGGTTTGATGAACACAATTCTAGCTTTATATCAGTGCTTTCTCATAGCAACAGTAGAAGGTATGCTTTCTGATCAGAGTAAGGGAAAAATGCTCGTCTGAAGTGCCTGAAAAGGCTGCAATGAGCATTCCAGTGATGAGCCCCCAAATGTATGAATATTCCTATCAATGTGACAGTAAACATGGTTAGGTTTGGATCTTGTATATATAGGGTCACTAGGATCTCTGGCGTAATCTACATCCATACTAGGATAAGTCATCTGATGAGCTTTAATAGAAACAAATTGCATTTGGCTCACCACAGTATAGGCAAAGAAATACAGCTCTAGGTTGTACAACTTCCTCACTGATTCTATCCACGAAATTAAATGCTAGTGGCCAGGTTTTGTTTAAATTTTGTTTTCTAAGCAAGAATGACACTAGATTTCATTAGACTTTTGTGTTAATACCCAAAGGAGTTGAAGAAGGGCACTTAGTTTCTCCAGTCCTGCCAGCTCTTAATAGTGCAGCCTTTTAGAAGTTTGGCATTCATCCTGACCTGCAAGTCAGTCACCCCCAGCTTGGTTGTAAGGGCAAGTGAACTGTATTAGAAGCTCCCTTTGAAGTCAGTAACAGCTGACAGTGTATTTTGCCTGAATCTATTTTGTTAAAATGACAATCAATCCATAAAATAAATCTCTAGACTTTCGTCCATGAGCCGGTGACAGACCTGAACTGGAATTTGCCAGGTCCCAAGCACCTGAGCCTAGAAAAGCAATCAACTCTAATATATGTTAGACAGACAAGTCTGTCTATGTAGGAAGACTGCAAAGCTTTGACACGGTTCTCTTCTGCACAAGCAAGAGCCATGGCCAAATCTCAAACAACTAAAATTTCCTTTGGTGGCACTGGTAAACTTCAACACATTTCAAGAACTGAGTAATAACCACAAGATGGAGCTTTGGTCAGCGTTTCCCAAGTGGGGAAAAAAAGAAGCAACACTATGTCCTGACATGCTCCTGTACAAGAACTGAGGAGAAAGACTCCAGTCCTATTTGCCATGGCAAATCCTGGGCATATCTACTTCTCAAAGGGACTTGGACATACCGAGTAGGACTTTTTGCTAAAAGCACAAAAAGCTACTTATTACTTTTAAGGAGACGGAGGGAATTCTCTATAGGTTTTGACGAGTTCTGTGCTATCTACATCTTCAGAAAGGGCTGGAAATAAAACTTAACTCATATGCATTCCTGTAGAAGAAAGGAAGAAGTTACCTGTCAGATGATAGTGCTCCTCGCTCTCGTTATCTGTCAGAGACACCAGCTCTTTTAAAAGCAGAGGATATTTCAGCACTCTCTGAACAGGCTTTATGAGATACGACTCCAGTGTAGAAGAGTGTTGCTTTGTGGGATTTCGAGCATCCAGAAAGGTCTTAAAGGCACTGTCTGTTTTGGCTGGATGTAAATACAAGAGTTGGTCAGTTAAACATGGAAGTCATAGAAGCTACAAGAATTTGAAAGCACAGAATTGCAGCTTGTAACCAGCATCAAAAGCCTCACCTTTTTCAACAGATGGTTTACAAAGTAGCTCACACTATTCATTTCATAATCATTTCCTGCATTAAATAACATACCTAAGGGCCAAGGGAACACTTAGATCAAGGTGAGATTATTCCTCAGTGTAATTTTTCCACTGCACTGCAGTGATGGCAGAGGAAGTAATTCCTAACTTAGTCTACCATTTGTTGCTGCTTTTGGGAGTATGAACTGGATCTGCAGACGGCACAAACTTGTGGAAGATGTTTCTAGCTATTCAGGCTACTGCCTGCATGTTACAAAAGGACTCTTATCCCTTCACAGTTCTATACCATACTTCAGCAGAACCACAGATCTTAGCTATTCCTATGGAAAGGTACCCAATTAGCCCTTGCTTTGCACCAATATTCTCTGCAAGTCAACAAGATTTGTTTCGGTAGTTCACTGCAGTTTAAATTCATGCACATGGATTACAATAAAGACAATAAATTACCTCTCTCGAGAACTTTCTGGACTTTGATGTGGTTTGCACAGAAGCCACTGTACAGTTTAAAGTGGTCAGCATAATACAGAAAGGAGCCTCCGAGGGAAAACAGCAATTTCTGAAATCAACACAATCGAAATATTAATTCATTACTAGAATCCAAAATAAATGTTCAGGCACATAATACAGAGGCTCAAAAATCATGGTAGTAGCTCCAGAATGTTTCTGTATTTCTCTGGGCATAGAGTTCACCCTAATTACACAAAGCCTGCAATTTTCTCTATTCTCCCTGAGCAGGTACACCACTGCAGACGCTCTGTCTTACTGTATCTTTCAGGCAGCACATGAACAAAAATCAAAAGACACGTAACAGGGTATCTTGTGCTGGGAAAAAAACATGAGCAATAGGAAGCATGGCACAAAAGTGCCAAAGCCAGAAGGGACAGTGTAAAACAAACACAGAGGATTGCTTTCCAACTGTTTTCCTTCTTTCAGGCAGGTGGTAATTACAAGGCACCTCTGATGCTCTTGGATGAAGGGGCGGTTGGGAAGATGTGGGAGGCACTGAATCACGAGGGAGATGTTTTTAGAAAAAATGCTTCCCAAAGCAAAGATAAGAAAGAGGAGTAGTGAGGGAGGAGGAGGAGGGGGGAAGAGGAGGAGAAAGAGGAGGAGAAAGAGGAGGAGGAGAGCGGCCCTCTCCCCTCTTTTTAATCAATGTTTGCTCCACAAAAGGCAGCGAGTGTCCAGGAGACCTGCCAGCAGTCTCGCCTGGTCCTGTGTCAGTCATCTCCAGGGAATCTGCTTCTTCCCGTTAGGGCAGGTACTGAGTAGTGCCACCATGAGCGAGACAGGACAGTGAGGGCACAGTCTACAGAAGTTTGCACTTTGTAGGCCCTCTTCTTGGACCTCTCGACATGAGCAACTCGTGGCATTTATCAGGAAAAGCTCCTGGTCTATAGCGGGTGAACTGGGCACAGCGGGGAGGAGCACAGGGCAGGGCAGGGCAGAATTCAGCCCAGTGACAATAACCTGTCTAAAAGGAGTTCTGCATCATAAGCATTGCTAGTTTATAGCACACTCAAAGTCTACTCTGCATCTTCCGTGTTGCATCTTCTGCCGTGGGAAAGAGGAAGATAAAACCCATGAAAATAAGCACTTATCTTTCACTGCTGAATAGATGTCTGTAATCCAAAGTAAAGCTTCAAACATAAAAGCAACCAATGAAACTTACAGAGTTCTCACAGCCAGATTTTCACAAACATTTGCAGGCACACTACAAAGTATTGACAAAATATTTACCCGGAACTGGGATGGTGTTTCCAGTGTATTAAAATCTGAGGAAGAAGATATTCCATCTTCAAGGGTCTCCAAAAACACCTTCTGGAAATCCAGCATTTCTGGCAGACTGCCGAACAAGGACTCCATCTGTGAAAAACATCAGGCTATGAAGTACAGCACTCCATGCACCTAACGGTGGTCTTGGGAGAACAGTCCACTAAGGAGATGCGACACACAAAGAGGTTGCAAAAGCCAATAACGTCTTTGTTAATACTTTTCAAATGGGTTTTATAAAAAAAAACCTCTTACAAAAAGCAAAGATTCCTTAGGAGTTACGCTAGTTCTTTTTAAAAAAAGAAGTGACGCATGCACCAGACAGAAAGGCACTGACTGGTATAATTCCTATTGTTACATTCCTTGTTTGCTTTTTCTGTCATGCTCTCAGCAATGAAAAACCCAAATGCCAAGGTCTTAACCCATAAAAGAATGAAAAGCACATCTTTCAGTTATTCCCTCACCTCATCCTGGGTAAGGAAGGTTTCATTTTGAAGGGGCTCCAAGTACAGCTCGAAGAGGCAGCTCAAATCCTGCAAGAAACAGAACTCATTCACTTTTTATGTAACAGTCTGAAATTGTTCTTTATATGACACCTGCGGGATAGAGGTAATTTTGGGGAATGAACTAGAGATACAATTCCTTTTCTGTAACAAAATCACCTGCATGTTCTTAGTGCTAAAGTGATTGCTAAATTAGATGCAAATTGATTTCAGTGTAATGTTTTTTGTTTCATCTTTACGGTTTTACAGCTTGGTTATAACAAATTGTATTTTAGTATAGAATGAGGAGAAAATGTTACAGATAATGGGTTTCTAAAGAGTCTATGTATATGAACAGCATCAAATGTTTTAATCATGCATGTTAGATAAACCATATAAATAACCACTCATTTAAACATTTGTAGTAATATTCAGAAGGACATGTAACATTTAAAAATCCTATTAGGTATTAATGCATTCAGTTATGTTGCTGGGGGGACACGGTTAGGGGCTTTTTCAGCAACTTCTTCGAAGAATTGGTGCCACTTTTGAAGACTTACTATCCCAGACCAAAGCATGACAGCAGGGCTGGGGCCCACTGCAGGGCTCTCCAACCCTGAGAACAGAAACTGCAGAAATTCTTACGGAGAAGGAATAATGAGCATCTGCCCGAGAACGCTGTAACGAGTATGTGCAACCTGCCAGGATTTTGCTTGGTGCAAAATTTCACACATGTCAGTGACCTCCATGGTCATGACTTTGTTCAAGCAATTCCTCTATAAGAAACATCAGCTCGACGTATGTGGGGGTCCATGTTCTGTAAAGCTTCCTCAAGCTTTACAGCATAGGGCTGTATTAATGTATTGATGGATGTACTACCAACAACAGACTGAAAGCATTTTCTCTTTTCCATATACGTTATTGCAGCAAGTACCAATATCTGTAAGTATGTGTTTTGAGATCTAGTAGATGATTCCTCCTTGCTGAAGGTCAATGAAATCAATATTTTCATGTTTCTTTTGGCATCCAGTCACAGGAATTTGGGGTTTATAAAAAGAAAAGACATCTAACAAATTATGGACTTATTAGTCAGAGGAGAAATAACATATGTGTGATGCTACAACCAACTGGATCTGTGCCTTTTAGCTTAGCTGATTCAAAAATAATTATGCATTATTTTCCACAGCTAACCTTTTTTTCTGATTTGTAGGAGACTATATTCTATTCTTCTACCAGATTTATTTTCATCTTGAAAACTATGGAAACATCCCCTGGAAAACCCCTATGTTAACATATTGCAGGTATCTACTCCCCACAAATTACCACTCTCCAATATAAATACAAATCGACTAAAAATAAAGCTACTAGATCAAATCCTACAGCCTCTATTGCAGGAGCAAGCCTGTTGAAAACAACAGGAACAACTAGGTAAGTGGACTTTGTAGGTTATGGCCCTTGTAAGATGGCTGGTTATATAAAGGTAAGCATTAAATATGTTAGGACTATCCACAAATCCTCAAAACCAAGGCTGTAGCTAGCCAGAATTTATATTTTTTTTACCTTGACGTAAGATTTCTCAGTGTCCATAAGTTCTTGGATGACTTTCCTCAATCTATCTGCATCAGAAAGGTGGCGAGCCAGTGGCCGTGGAGGTGGATCCTGGTTGTCCTTCTGTCCTTCCATACTGCTCGCCTGGACTTCTTGGAAGTTTCGGCACAATGCACTGATCTGTTCTGCGCTCTGTTAAATGAGAAGAAAAGGACAAGCACTGATGTTTTAGAATACAAGCTGTACTACAATTATTTTTAAATTCCTCAAATGTTGTTCTTGTTCCAAATTCAGGGGCCAGAGCATGCCATTGATTCTTGCCAAACATGACATGATGCCAAATATCCTGATAGCTTTGAACAGCTTCAATTTATAGCAGATCCGGATCACAGCAGCAAAATGAAATGAAAATTTTCTAGTGATTTTCCAGCGCAAATTATTTTCAGTCTTCAGATACTAGCTCGTGGGATGTAAAAGAGAGCACTCAGATATATCATATACTTTGATTCTTATGACACTAGCATCACACTATTTTCCATCTCTCTCATTTTGCAGCACTCACTGCATCAAAATAGAAAGAATTAGGAGATAAAGATCTTTTAAGCATCTAGAATAACTGTTTTATTTGTCATTTGCTACCTATATTCTGTTGTCTGGTTTTTTTCTCAAACAATGAGACTTGGGGTTGAGGGTTCAGATTCCAATGTCCTGGGTTGTCAAAAGATGTATAGATGCTTTCTCTCCAAGGAGACAACTATGTATGAAGACATTTTGCTTTCAAAAACGGCAAACGGAAACCTAAACCTTTAAGATTCTTTACAAGAATGATAAAAATGAAAAAAACAGAAAATTTTCAAGCAAGGTAGGAATTGCAGATGGAAAAACAACAACATAAGCTGAAGGTAGAAGAGAAAGAGGTTTTTCTGACACTATGAAATGGTTGTGTAGTTTGCTCATCACTAATATCCAAGAGAAACTTTTGCAGGCAATAATCTTTAATGTTTAATTTGAAAATTATTCCACTGTGCTTTTTCTTATATGACATTTTGCTGAAAGCTAGAATATCACTACCATTACTCAATTCTACCTTAACAGCTGTCACTATCCACCTCTTTATACCACATGAAACAAACTATGCTTCTGTCTTTCAGATCCTCTCTAAGATACTGGGCAGTTGCATATGCTGTGCCATATATACGTCTTCTATTTAGTGAATGCATTCAAATGAGAACTACGTCAATGCTGCCTTATTTCAAGCGGAAGTCTTGTTTCAGAGATCTTGTTTCAGTGAAGAAATCAGGACATGAGTGCATTTCAGAACTGTCTTAATCTTTACTAATTTGTTCCACACGTGGAATAAAAGTGGTCAGTTTTGGATCTCCTGATTCACCACTGATTACCTGTGTAGCTAAATTCACCAGCATACTAGGTCATCAAATGAGCAAATGCAAAAGTTCTTCTGAAACTGAACTGAGCTACACAAAGCCTTCTCTAAGGTGGAGGCTAAATTCCCTAGCAATATCAAATCTCAACCATTCATGTGACAAAACATAGGTACATCCCTCACACCTATATGATGGAAATAAACGTTAAAATGTCAGATAGTTGCCATGTACTCTATAGCTTCCCAGCCCTCAGTTTTGAAAAATGCCACCACTCAAAAAAGTTGTTAATTTCTTCATTAATATGTGCAGCCATCTTTCACCTGTATATCCATCCTGTATAATGACAGCTTGCAGGACTATGAAATTTAGATACATTTTATATTTACAACATTTATTAGGACCCAACAAAATGCAATGTATATTAATGGTGTTTGTTGGAATTACAGCTGCACACTGATGGAATACATTTAAAAAATCAGTCACTCTGTAACACTAACATTAATTAGTGTTTTGGAAATAAATCACAACTTAATTTAGGAAATGGAGAGAGGATGTATTTTAAAGTAACTTCTAAACAGCTGAATGCCAGAGTACTTGAATTTTGTTTTCTTCGTTTCTGATGTCAGAAAGTTTTGTATTTGTATCAGAATGACTCAGATTTTACGCTCTCTACAGCTCAAGGTGCTCGTGGGCAGCTTGATTTACATCAACCTGATGCCTGATCAAGGACACTAGATCAAGGATGAGACATTCTATTGAAAGTGATTCATAAACATCATCATCAGGCACAATTTTACAAGGAGTTAGAAGTCCTCTACTCCTCCTCAACCACCTTTGCACAGAGGGCAGGCAGACGTTGGAAAACATGCTATGTTCTCAGTCCTCTTCAGTTTTGGGGCTAGAGCTGCATCTGCCACCAAGAACCACTGGATAAGAAAGCATATGAAATAGATGATAGTCCTGAACAAATACTATTTGTAGTATTGCACCTAAGCTACAAAATTTTGGTGTAAGAAATTGTTCCACATAACTGGCCCAAGCCCAAGCCACAGGATTACCGTAAGGTCCCTCTCAGCCATACTGCCAACAAGTAGTGATTTTTATAAACTTTATTCTGTTCCTGAACAGGCAAGCACTTTGTGTTAGCAAGTCTGGCATGAAAAATATTGTCCTTGTCTTGCAGTGCCCCTTGTAGGCTCTGGTCCTTTCCCACAGCTTTGCTGCCCTCTGTCCTTCCCTTTATGGAAGACTTTCAGACTCTACAATATCCAGACCTGATTCTCACTCTTTGTGTCCACTGTGGTATTTACGTTTGGGTCAAAGCCAGCGTGAAATGCTACTTGATCACAGGATGGAAATATTTCACATTCACTCTTACATATTGCATGGACCATATAACATGTAGGAACACATTTTGCCAGTGAAATCACAAAGTGTACATTAGGTTCTGGACCAAGAGCTTAGTATTCATGAGAAACTTCGTAACAAATAGAGAGCACTAAAGCTATTCTTGCTTCATCTTTCTTTCCAAAACTCCCTTACCACCCAGGTCAGGATCTCCATCTTCTTCCCACACTGCTCTAGGTGCTACTTTCTGCCTCCCACACTAAACGATGTCCTGCTCTTTATTATTTTTGCTGCTTAAAATAGACCTTTTCTAGAAAGACTCTAGTGACAACCCTTAAGAAATGTCTTTTCTATCTTTTACGTGTGGGCAGGAGAGGCCCAGCCTCTGCCCTGTTACTGACTGGAGCTGGGATTTCAAAGCCACTTGGGCATCTTGGATGTCAAAGCAGAGTTTGGCAGTCTAGTGCCTTTAAACCAAGAAGTCTCAAGAGGATCCCCAAGCTGACACTACATACATCCACCATAACCTTGAATTAAGGTGACAACCTCAAATTTGCTCCGACAATAACATTGCAACAACTAACACAGGCAGATTTGACTCTCAGATATATCTGGTAAGCTCCTCAAGCACACAGCTGCTTTTATTTGCACAAGGCCAAGGCTGTCTGCACTTAGCAAATGGTAAAATAATTATTTATGCCAACCTTTATAGTGTGAAGCTCATCAGAATAAAACCATTTAAGTTGATGAAAAGAAAAGCCCAGATGACTGACTGTGGACAAGGCTGCAAGGTAGCTGGGTGCAGAGAAAAGCTGAGGAGACCAGAGAGTGGAAGCAACAAACTTTCTCCAAAATCCATCACTTGAGCTTATGTATGCCACTTTCAGTAACATTTATATGAGATTGCAAGCAGCTTCAGCTTACCTTTGGCACTGAACAGCATACAGATGAGGCTAAAAATCCAAAAATTTAGACTAACAGTGCTAGGTTTGAATGACAGAGTTGGGAAAGACAACTGGAGCTTATGAAGGGTTTATAGAAAATAAACCCGCAAATACTTGCATTCCAGGGAGAATGAAGTTAAGCAGCACTGTACTGTTTTATAGGCCATTTTCACAGATTTTCCAACAAAGCTGTATAAACTCTTCCACAGACCTAGCAGTCAGGGGAAGCCCCATACTCTCTTGGCCTCTAAAAACTGAAGGATGTGCAGAAGCAGCCTTGAGAAACTTCTTTTTCATCCCTTCATGTTTGCAACTCATAGTTAGGTCCTACATCCTTTTGCAGGGAGTATTCCCTGTGAGTGAGGATTGCTCGCAGTAACCTTAGAGGGGAAAGTTCCAGTCCATGTAAGTGCCAGCTTGATCCATAGCAGTCAACCACCACAATGGTGCTGAGCTGGTCAGATCGAGATGAAGCACATCCCACTTTCAATAATAGTCCTGGTAAGAAATATTAGAGATTATTCCTTTAAACTGAACAAAAGGATACTCTTACAAGTAACCTCTTACAGATTTTCTTTGCTCCTTGCAGACAAGCATATCATCATTTGAGGCTGTGCTACCCCACCAGAGTTAAAAATCTCCATAAAATTAATTGGTGAGACAGCAGAAGACATTAATCAGCAGTGGTTAAGCATTAGCACAACAATTTCATGGCTACCCTGTGACTTTCTATTGAATGATACTGATTGAGCATAAATGCTGCACAAGGTCAATTAGTGTTACGGTGTCACTGCTCATTGCTGTTTATTTTACCTTCATTTATACACCTCATGTATTCCATCAGTCAATTGGGATTTGTTTGAAAAAGGGATGGAAAGGAATATTTTGAGTAGGCTTAGAAAAATCTACAGCCTAAGAAAGACCCCTTGGGACGGTTAAAACCATGCATGTCCTTTGATGAGTTTTCAGATTCCCGTACCCTTGTGCAGGAGACTGACCACATCTACAGGGTGATCACCAATCCTTTGAATTCCTTATCTGAAGAGGAAGCATGCTCAGGAAACATCCTGCAGAAACAGATTAGTCTTGTACGTTTTAAAAATGAACAGCCAGCAGCTCAGCTCAGTCTGATGTATATATTTCCAGGAAGACTGGATGCACCAGTAGGCAGAAGAAATACAATTACATGGGGTTTTGAGAAATGAACAACTGGCCAGAGATCTCTTTACATCCCCCACTCTGTGAAGAAGGAAAGCTTTTGGAGATGTCCATCATTTTTCCTTTGTGTTAGAAGAAAGAAGGCAGCCCTAACAGCTGTCAGTTTTTTGTGAGTCCACCACTCTACAGACTTCTCAGTCATCCTCAGACTGGGAAGCATGTTGTAACCAAGCAATGTAAAAGGCCAGAAAGTTGCAGGCTTTAGCTTCCTTAAAGACCACTAAAAAAAGTTGCCTTCTGTTACACACCAATACAGTATGTGCACTCCTCTAAATTGTTTATTAAGACTGAAAAATGT